GGGGGGGGGGCCGGTCCCTGAAAACAAGGCCCCGCGGTGAGGAGGGGGGACGAAGCCTTAAAGCGGCCGGTCCGCAGTAGCTGCGGGTCTGAGGCTTAGAGGATGAGGAGTTTGGGGGCCGCCAGGAATGGGCCCTCTGGGGCTGGGCCCTCGTTCCCTCTCCTCGCATGGCCGTTGGGCTGGGCGCCCGACAACGCTAATAGTTACTTGAAAAAGTATGCCAACTGCTCCTGACAGACTGGCCTCTGCGCCCGGCCCTGCTATTATTTGTTAGTTCCATTTCGCAGCGCCGAGCTTGGAGTCTGATCGCTCGGCCGAGTAGGGCCTTAGGGTAACCTCGACGGAATGGAGGCATGTTCAGCACTTCCGGCTGCTTGGGGTCCTCTCCATTCTACCCCGGCACTAGACGAAGTGTCTTACTCCGCCAGGGTGGGGCCGGGCTCGCCCACCAGAGCTCTGTCTTGCGATTTCTGGGATATCCTATTGTCTCTTCTGGACAAACGCGGGACGCTCACAGGGCACCAGGCATTCCGTCAGCTCCACAGCCACGCACCTCTGAGCCTCATCTCCTTGCGTCTCTCTCTGCAGAGAAACGATGGTTAAATAAGACCCCTATTTGGTTTATTCCATTTTGCTGTAGTCCTGGGTTTGGTCCTAGTTAACTGTCCCTTTTTACAATGTCTAGAAACCAATGCCACAAGGAGCTATGAGACGTGTATTGTAGTGTCTTAATGTGTGTGTGTGCTGCTCTGCTCCCCATCTCCTAAGAAAAATGCCAAAAACCAAAAGTAATTTAATAGAATGTGAAGATGTTGAATAGTGCTATCTCCTGTTATAAAATCGTTAACTGGTTAAAGCCAGTCTTTATTTTTTCTTCTATCTCTGTCTGATCTTGTGCTTCTATCACCTCCATTTTACCGTTGCTGCGATTTTAAGAGTCAGACATATTGGCTCTGGGTTTCTAGAGCATCTTGGCTTCTAGTGCATTCTGATCCAATGGCATTTACTGCCTACCAAAAATGGGCTAATGATGTGGATTTAAGATTATTCTAACAAAAATATAACTTTTCCAAGATCTGTTGCTGTTTTTCTGTTGAAAATGATTGGGTAGAATATACATTGATATGAAATGTGAAAATTTTTGCTTGTGACTCCTTAGTCCGAAGATAGTTCTGCCAGGTAAATTTTTTTTAAAGTCTTTTTTCTTTTCAGGCTGTCTTTTAGTCAAGATGAGTGATAAGCCAGACTTGTCAGAAGTGGAGAAGTTTGACAGGTCAAAACTGAAGAAAACTAATACTGAAGAAAAAAATACTCTTCCTTCAAAGGAAAGTAAGTCATGGGGGGGTTCTAGTGGAAACAAACAATAGAGAAAGTTAATAGGTTCACTAAATAAACCTATTTTCTAGGAACTTTTTGCCACAAAGTAAGCAATAATTAGAGTACCGTGGTATTTAATATAACAGTTAAAAATATCAGATAGTTATCTTCCTACTTGGGTTATATAAGCAGTACTCACATAAGTCTTAATAAGAATGAGGGAAACCTAGTTTCTTATTGGAAAATTACTAAAAACCACCTTAAAATCAATCTTGAAACATTGGATTTAATACTATAAAAACCTTAGTCTTGTTCACTTTATGCTTATTAGACATTTTTCTGCATCCATCAATTTGGATCAGTGATCTTACCAAAGCCATGCAAATGTTGCAGTTTTGGCCTTTTTTACCTGGTGATGAGATAAAGAAGATGGGCAAGTTTAGATCTTGGGTGCAATTAAGGCTCCCAGACTCAAGGGATAAGTGATCACTTTTGCCCTCCAGAAATACAGCCTGCTGGAGAAACTCCAATTGTATTTGCAGAAGTTGAGGGGAACTTTTTGTCTTTTTAGTTTTAAGAGTTCCAAAGTCAGCTAAAATTGTCTGAAAAGGTATAACTTCCTAGTTGTATATGAATAGATAAATCCAAAGAAATTCCTTCATATCTCAGTCTTGAATCATCTATGAAAAAATGGTAACAGCATATCTCTGTCTCTCAAATAGGAAGAAATACTCCACAGTTATAGATTCTAATGAATATTCAGGTAATTAACATACACACATACATACACACATCCTATTGTGAGGATTTGTGGTTAATGACTTGGCATTCTAAATTTAAAGCATGTATACAGACTTTGATGACTCAGCAAGGAGCTCTTTTGGAAGAAACTGAACTTAACTTTAGGAAAATATGGTCTTAATTTGTGTTTGTTTGTCTTCCCAGCCATCCAGCAGGAGAAAGAGTGTGTTCAAACATCGTAAAATGGGGATCTCCTCCCAACAGCAGATTTCAACATTACCTGAGAGTCTTGGTTTAGGCCTGTTTTTTGTAAACCCATGTGTCTATAGAGATTTTAGGCATCTTCGGATGTCTTCTCACCTATGTTCCCTGGCTAAGAAGTCAGAGGTAGCCAATGTTTCCTTAAATTCATTTTTATACTTACCATTGGTGCATATGTTCCAAATGACAGATGCTGTCAGTAATCTCACCATTGATGACCTTTGTGTATGTAGTTCTTGCATAAGCCTGTTTTAACCTGCTATGATGGGTACCTCCATTGCTTCATAATCTTCATGAAGTTGCATGCTTTTGCAGCTTTTCACAGTTTATTTTCATTTCTAATGTAGTAATAAAGCAACCAATATAATCATTATCTTGAGACTCCTGTGGTTGACTCTTGGCGGTCTTCTAAGTGATGAAAAGTACACAAGGATATACTTTTCAGCCAGACAGAATGGTTGAAGGAAAACTGTTTTAGTAGATTATTCATGTGGGAAATTTTCACTTTTCTCCAGGCCTCATGGATCCTGATTTGGAGATGCTAGGTGCTTTTTGTTAGAGTTGGAATCATAGAGTTAGAGAAACTTGGGAAGGAAGGTCATGTGGACTAACCCCCTTATTTCAGAATGAAGAAAGGAAAATACAAAGTCTGAGGTGATCTGCTCAAGATGAATATTAAAGCAGAGTTCTCTTGCCTTCTTGAAAGTATTTTTCAACTTAATGGAATGGGTCACCCAAGGCTGGGATTGGATGGGGAAGGGGCAGGAGGCACTTGCTAACATGCACTGTACTAAGCATAATATGCCTTCTGTGGATCATAAACTCCTATCCAATAGCTGTTAATGACCTGTAGTGGAGAACTTCTGGTTTGGTTCTTGTGTAAAACAGAATTTGCTGTCTTAGGAACCAAGCATTTTTGGTGTTCATGGTGAACGTAAGTGCTATGGACTGAATTGTGCCCCCCAAATTTGTATGTCGAAGCCCTAACCCCAGTGTGATTATATCTAGAGGTAGGTTCTTTAGGAAGTAGTTAAGGTTAAAAAAAGGTCATAAGGGTCAGGTTCTAATCCAATAGGATTGTGGCCTTAAGAAGAAGAGGAGGAGTGAGAGAAAGAGGGAGAGAGAATGAACGTGTGCGCAAGAGAGATCACTGCCATGTGAGGACACAGTGAGAAGGCAGCTGTCTGCAAGCCAGGAAGAGTGCCCTCACCAGAAACTGACCTTGCAGGACCTTGACCTAGGACTTCTAGCATACAGAACTGTGAGAAAATAAATTGTTTAAGCCACACAGTCTATGATATTTTTGTTATTGTAACTTGAGCTGACTAATACAATAAGGAATACATATAAATGCACATGTCCCAACCCATGCCCTTAATACTTTTATCATTTTTAATTTATTCAAGTCAATTACATATAACCTCACCAATTAGAAGTGTTGGCATTTATGTATACTGTATAACCATCCAGACTGTGGCTCTATTAATCTGGATTGTGAGCTTTTTCTACAAAAAAAACTAAATAAATTATGCTTTTAGCACCTATTTGCAATCTCAAATATTGTTCTTACCTCCCTTTCTAAGGGCTCATATTCTTAATCACTGAGGTTACAGGACGTGGAATCCATTTTTTTCTGCTATAGGATAAAGTTCCACATGCAAAACAGTAGGTGGATCAACTTTGATCAAGTGCTGATGAGGTGACATAATCACAGGGCTTAGTGTAGCCAGAGGATTTGAATCTTGGAAGTAACCATGTTGGTCACCAGTAACTTACCTCCTATCTAAAACAGTTGTCTAATAGTCATTCTGCCCCTTACAATGACATGGTATTTACACTGTGCCCAAAATTGCCTACCTTTAGCTCCTATCCAACAGTCCTCAGACAGTTTTTTTGGATACTTTCACAAGGTGATTAATCTGTCCTCCAGTATTTGAAGTCAGCTGCTGTGTGCCTGCCCTCATACCTCCAAGTCTTCTCCAGGAGACATCTCTCAGATCCTTTGGACCCAAGTCACATGGATGGGGAACCATGCTGATTGCATGTTAGGTGTGCTCAAGTTTCCTCATTATCAGATTTCTTTGGGTTCTGATCCTATCATCCAAAACATATGCTCTCCTTTCAGTGTTGCTACTTGCAAATTTGATAAAAGTGCTATATATCTATGATAGATCCAACAGCCTCTGCATTTGTATACTAATCCAACTCAAGATTAGACCCATTTCAAAGGGCCTAAAGGAAAGCATGAATATTGTCAGGTAAGCTGGAATTGGACGTTAACTCCCAGTGTTCAATTACATTTGGTACCTATCCTTTTCCTTAAGGCATTAATTCTACCCTGGGTAGTATAAGTGGTAAACTGAGTGGGAGCAGATGAAAGGCACATGATGAAGGTGAAATATGTGTAGTTGCAAAGTGAATATTTACACAAGTTGGGAAAAACAATTGCTTACCTACTGTAGTTTTGTCCTGTATTTTTTTAAATGACATGGGGCTATTCTTTTTTTTTTTCCCATTTATTTATTTTATTGCATTTTAGGTTTTGGGGTACATGTGAAGAACATGCAAAATTGTTGCATAGGAACACACGTGGCAGTGTGATTTGCTGCCTTCCTCCCCATCACCTACATCTGGCATCTCTCCCCCTGCTATCTCTCCCCAGCTTCCCACCCCAAACCGTCCCTCACCTATTTCCCCCCTACTGACCCCAATGTGTAGTGCTCCCCTCCCTGTGTCCATGTGTTCTCATTGTTCAACACCCGCCTATGAGTGAGAACATGCGGTGTTTGATCTTCTGCTCTTCTGTCAGTTTGCTGAGAATAATGGTTTCCAGGTTCATCCATGTCCCTACAAAGGACCCAAACTCATCGTTTTTGATGGCTGCATAATATTCCATGGTGTATATGTGCCACATTTTCCCTATCCAGTCTATCGTCGATGGGCATTTGGGTTGGTTCCAGGTCTTTGCTATTGTAAACAGTGCTGCAATGAACATTTCGTGTGCACGTCTCCTTATAGTAGAACGATTTGTAATCCTTTGGATGTATACCCAGTAATGGGATTGCTGGGTCAAATGGTATTTCTATTTCTAGGTCCTTGAGGAATCGCCACACTGTCTTCCACAATGGTTGAACTAATTTACACGCCCACCAACAGTGTAAAAGTGTTCCTATTTCTCCACATCCTCTCCAGCATCTGTTGTCTCCAGATTTTTTAATGATCGCCATTCTAACTGGCGTGAGATGGTATCTCAATGTAGTTTTGATTTGCATTTCTCTGATGACCAGTGATGATGAGCATTTTTTCTTATGTTTGTTGGCCTCATGTATGTCTTCTTTTGTAAAGTGTCTGTTAATATCCTTTGCCCACTTTTGAATGGGCTCGTTAGTTTTTTTCTTGTAAATCTGTTTTAGTTCTTTGTAAATTCTGGATATCAGCCCTTTGTCAGATGGGTAAACTGCAAAAATTTTTTCCCAATCTGTTGGTTGCCGATTCACTCTAATGACTGTTTCTTTTGCTGTGCAGAAGCTGTGGAGTTTGATTAGGTCCCATTTGTCTATTTTGGCTTTTGTTGTCAATGCTTTTGGTGTTTTGGTCATGAAGTCCTTGCCTACACCTACGTCCTGAATGGTTTTGCCTAGATTTTCTTCTAGGGTTTTTATGGTGTTAGGTCTTATGTTTAAGTCTTTAATCCATCTGGAGTTAATTTTAGTGTAAGGTGTCAGGAAGGGGTCCAGTTTCTGCTTTCTGCACATGGCTAGCCAGCTTTCCCAACACCATTTATTGAACACGGAATCCTTTCCCCATTGCTTGTTTTTGACTGGTTTGTCAAAGATCAGATGGTTGTAGATATGTTGTGTTTCCTCTGAGACCTCTGTTCTGTTCCATTGGTCTATATCTCTGTTTTGGTACCAGTACCATGCTGTTTTGATTACTGTAGCCTTGTAGTATAGTTTGAAGTCCGGTAGTGTGATGCCCCCCGCTTTGTTCTTTTTGCTTAGAATTGACTTGGCTATGCGGGCTCTCTTTTGGTTCCATATGAAGTTTAAGGTGGTTTTTTCCAGTTCTGCGAAGAAGGTCATTGGTAGCTTGATGGGGATAGCATTGAATCTGTAAATTACTTTGGGCAATATGACCATTTTCACGATATTGATTCTTCCTAACCATGAACATGGAATGTTTCTCCATCTGTTTGTGTCCTCTCTTATTTCGTTGAGCAGTGGCTTGTAGTTCTCCTTGAAGAGGTCCTTTGCATTCCTTGTTAGTTGTATTCCTAGGTATTTTATTCTCTTTGTGGCAATTGTGAATGGAATTTTGTTCTTGATTTGGCTCTCTTTAAGTCTGTTATTGGTGTATAGGAATGCATGTGATTTTTGCACATTGATTTTGTATCCTGAGACTTTGCTGAACTTGCTTATCAGTTTCAGGAGGTTTGGTGCTGATACAATGGGGTCTTCTAGATATACAATCATGTCGTCTGCAAATAGAGACAATTTGACTTCCTCCTTTCCTATTTGAATGCTCTTTATTTCTTTTTCTTGCCTGATTGCTCTGGCTAGAACTTCTAATACTATATTGAATAGCAATGGTGAGAGAGGGCATCCTTGTCTGGTGCCACATTTCAAGGGGAATGCTTCCAGTTTTTGCCCATTCAGTATGATATTGGCTGTTGGTTTGTCATATATAGCTTTTATTATTTTGAGATACGTTCCATCGATACCTAGCTTATTGAGGGTTTTTAGCATAAAGGGCTGTTGAATTTTGTCAAAGGCCTTCTCTGCATCAATTGAGATAATCATGTGGTTTTTGTCTTTGCTTCTGTTTGTGTGGTGAATTACGTTTATCGACTTGCGTATGTTGAACCAGCCTTGCATCCCCGGGATGAAGCCTACTTGATCATGGTGGATAAGCTTTTTGATGTGCTGTTGCAATCGGCTTGTCAGTATTTTATTGAAGATTTTTGCATCTATGTTCATCATGGATGTTGGCCTGAAGTTTTCTTTTCTTGTTGAGTCTCTGCCGGGTTTTGGAATCAGGATGATGTTGGTCTCATAAAATGATTTGGGAAGAATTCCCTGTTTTTGTATTGTTTGGAATAGTTTCAGAAGAAATGGTACCAGCTCCTCTTTGTATGTCTGATAGAATTCAGCTGTGAACCCATCTGGACCTGGGCTTTTTTTGGGTGGTAAGCTCTTAATTTCTGCCTCAACTTGAGACCTTGTTATGGGTCTGTTCAGGGTTTCGGCTTCTTCCTGGTTTAGGCTTGGCAGGAGGCAAGTGTCCAGGAATTTATCCATTTCTTCCAGGTTTATTAGTTTGTGTGCATAGAGTTGTTTGTAATAATCTCTGATGATGGTTTGAATTTCTGTGGAA